TGACCCAACCATAAAATTGTTTTCATTGCTACTTCATAACTGTAATGTTGCTACTGTTATGAATCGTAATGTAAATATCTGATATGCAGGATGGTCTTCGGCGACCCCTGTGAAAGGGTCATTCGACCGCCAAAGGGGTCGCGACCCACAGGTTGAGAACCGCTGGCCTAGAGGGAAATATGCCCACACGGCCAGCAGGGGTTGCCTTTGTTGGTAGAATGATGGGAGGGGGTTGCACTTTTAAAATTCCCTCAGTGGGCACGGACAGCTTTCACTACTACAGTAAAAAAGGATAAGTTGACAGATTGTTGAAAAGTGGACTGAAAAGGAACCGCCAGAGGATCCCTGCTCTCTGCCTCTCTCCAGGAGGCCTCAGATCCCCCACAGAGGGAGGACCACCTCCTCAAATGGCCAGGGAGGCTGCTGAGCTTCAGACTGACCTGCTGAACCGGAATCAGGCGACGTGGGGTAATATTTTTAATCAAGTTCCCTGGTTGATGATTTGTGCACTGAGGTCTCAGTCTTCCTCCGGGGTGGGGGTGAGGAACCTTTTTACTGCCAAGGGCCATTTGGGTATTGATAACATCATTCGCAGGCCACACAAAATTATCAACTTAAAAATTAGCCTGCTATAAACATTTAATTAACTCACCCCTAATGCCTTGGCAGGGCCAGACCAAATGATTTCACGGGCCTTAGACGGCCCTCAGGCCTGCCTTTCCTCACCCCTGCTCTAGGGGGAAGACTCTCCATGGGCAGCTCCTGCTTGGCCCCCAGAATGGTTCCGTGCCTACCCCCATCTCATCACGGAGTGCCTCCCCTACTCGGAGTAGACCAGCCACAGGAAGCTCAGACCCACCCACTCCGAGCCTTGGTTTGATTTGACTCCAGACCTCAGCATTAGCTCCTTGCAGGGCCACCTCCAGCTTCTCCACTGTGAGCTGGAAGGGGCGTGTGTCCAGCCCAGTGACCTGGAAAAAGATCCACAGCCAAATTCAGTGACCCCTCCTCAAACCCATGAACTCTGAGGGCCTCTCCTGCCTGTCATCTCCAGCCTCCTTAGAATAGTCTCTGGAAAAATGCAGGTGGGGTCACTCTCCTCTCACTGCCACCCGCCCCCACCCCACCGCCACATTGGGGACATCCTCATCACTACTAGGTTTCAGGGAGAGGCCCAAAGGTCCTCAGATTGGGGTCCAAGGACTTCCATGTTGAGGTCTGCTCTGCCCCATCCTCACCCCACCACCTTGGTGTGGTCCCCTGGGATTGCCCTTGGCCTCTACATCAATCCCAGGGATCTCAGAGCTGGGAGAATGGGGGGCCCCGGGGAACCCAGGCACTGGCCATGGGCAACAGAAGCCTCTACTCCCCTTTCAGCCATAGCCCCTGAGCCCTCAGCATGGGCTTTCTCCCATGTCCACCCTCAGATTCAGATGCAGGAAAGCCTTGGCCTGCAGGAACCCCTACCTGGGGTTCCAGGAACTCTTACCTCACTGTCCAGATAGACATAGACCAGTCGGACGTTGCCATAGAGATAGACGTGCTGTGTGATGGCTCCATAGTAAGGGGCAGGGATCAGGAAAGCCTCTGGGGGCAGGAGTGGGCCAGGGCTCGTCACCCTCTGGCTGGAGCTCATGGACCCCCTGTCCATTCACCCCAGCCTCTCTAAGCCTGCAATGATCTTGGAGAACATTCGGGGCAAGCTCCCTCTCTCAACTCCCAAAACTCTTTCTAGAGCTGGGCTCCACTGAGATCAGTTCCTCATCTAAAAATCAGGAGCTAATATTTATTGAGCACTTACTATGTGCTGGGAAGTATGCTAAACATTTATTTGCATTGCATCTCCTTAGATCCTCATAGTTACTCTGTGAAGTAAGTACTATTGTCCCCTAACTTTATCAATGAGGAAACTAAAGTTTAGAGGATCCCACTGAGGCACTCAGCATGGGGGCGGGGGGTCACTCTAAGGAGACTTGGACCCAGGAGTCGACGCTGCAGGGTGATGATCTGGGCTCAGCAAGTGGAAAAACTTGACAACATATAGAACTGCCCAGAGATATATGCTACTTCAGGAGGACGGGTTCTCCACCCGTGGGGGCATTCACACAAAGGCTGAGAGCATTTGGGGAGGGATGTCACACAGAGACTCCAGCTGTGGGTGGGGGTTGATGAGATGACTGTAAGCTCTACTCTAACGGAGAGCTAAAGGCATTGCTCCACTTCTGAAGAAAACACAGAGGTCAAGCTCCTCTCCCTTTCTAAACTTCCACTAGCACAGTCCACTCTGCTCACCGCTAAAAAGGTCAGCCTTTGTCCTATGTGTTCCTTTCCCCAGCCACAAGGGATTGGACCAGAGCTAGACTAATGACCCGAGGCAGCCAATCCACTGGCTGGCCAGAAACCCACCACATCTTCTCCCTCAAGACTTTGCTCTGAGAAGCACAGACACCTGTGAGGACGTGAACTTGAATGGAAAGGCCACGTGGAGTGGCAGCTGGACCAGCACCACTGGGCCATACAGGACCCAGGAAGGTCCAGAGAAAGGCCTTCATTAAAAGGGGCGGGGGAGACTGCATATCCCAGTGAGAGATAGTGTTCCACTGACCCCATTCGTGATTGTCCTAGAATGGGCAGGAAATGTTAGTCATGTTATCATTACTGATTATGATAGCATGGGTGGGCCTCAGTTCCTGGCAACCAATAACTCCTGACCATGACTACAGTCCATGTGTTCTCAGTATGACTAGGTAGCTCATGCCAAGTGACTTATTTCAGCCCCCTGTAGGCTAGGAGTCTATTATGGCCAAAAGCATTCTGATGCAGCCCTCAAGGACAGGCAGCTGGGACACTGCAGGCACAGAGCAGCTTCCAATGCGAAGCGGGCCATAGTACACTTACCCCCGACCTCACACAGCACCGTGGCCAGAGCAGAGAAAAGAGAGGCGCAGCCGTTCAGGACAACCACCTGGGGGTGACACATCCATGGGACAAAAGTGAGTCTGTTTTAGGAGGGATCCAGGCCCTGCAGCCTCTGTCCCTGCACGGCGCAGAGGGAGAGCCCGGTTGCAACTCGGTGCCTTTCAGGACTCTGAAGGCCTCTCCTGACTAATGGCCCAGTTCATTCCTGTGGCTTAGTTGTGGGGACGCTGCTCTAAGTCAACTGAGCAAGGAAGAGGGAGCTGCCCACTCGGAGTCATGTCCAAAGGTGTGGAGGCAAAGAGGAGCCACAGTGTTAGGGGCAGAAATAGAATAGTGGGGACTAGATATAATTATAAGAAATATTAATCCTGCTCTGATAACTGTGATTGTTCCATTCTGACTAGAGAGAGCACCTTCTACCCTGGCTGAGAGCTGTACGCCCCAGGACATGGGAGTTAACCTATATGATTCTACCCTGTCTCTGCTTAATTGGCTCAAGTAGTGACAGGCAGCCCAGACCCATTGGTTGTCGGTTTCAACAGGACAAAGTGGGGCAGAAAGCATACCCAAACTCTAAGGGAGGGGCGAAGCGAGGTGTTCTTAATTCCTCTTGGAAATAAAACAAAGTGAAAGGCAAATCCACCCCCCACCCCGCAACCCTTATCCCTGGCCAGCCAAAAGCTGGGGGAGGGACAGAAGAGCAGGAAAGAGCGGAGGAGGAGGGCTACTCACATTCTCCGGTTTAAGGGGTGCAGGGCTCCTGCAGTAGAAAGACAGGAACCTGGCCACTTCCTCCCGGAGGCTGCAGGTAAGACAGACAGAGGGGCAGTGCTTGTCAGAGGGCCTTCAACCCACAGTCCATCCCAAAGCTCCTCTGGCGAATCTTCAGGCAACGGCCATTACCCAGCAATGTTTCCCACAAGAGAATGTGATCAGTAAATATCTCCACCCACCTCTCCCCTTCCACCCCAACACTATCCACAGGCATCGAAACTTTCATTCTCAGGAGTTCTAGGACAGCCAACCCCACCGAATCAGCACATCTCAGGGACATCATAAGTAACACTCTATGTAGATCTAGGTAATAATAATAATAATATTGTTATAAAAATGACTATTATCATAGTTATTATTGCTGATATTTATTGAGCACTTACCTTATGCAGGCTTGTTATAAAAATGACTATTATCATAGTTATTATTGCTAATATTTATTGAGCATTTACCTTATGTTATTTGGAGAATTTTATTAATTAAATTTTGCAACAACCTTATGATGTAACTATTATTATCATTATTCTCATTTTATAGACAAAGAAACTGAGATTTGAAAAAATTAGGTCACTTGGCAGAGTCCACACTCAAGGCCAGTGGTCTGGGCCCACCATCCTAATTACTGTCAGAACATGTGCTTTGGAATCACTCTTGGAATCAAGTCCTGCTAAGTCACTATGCCCAGGACAGCATCTGGCCCCTAGTAAATGCTCAATAAGTACAAACTCTTACTAGTATCATTTACCATCTCCCACCCTACTCCCCTTCAACTGATTCTGGCTCCTCTAAAGCTACTGAGAAAGTGGGGTTAAGGACCCCTCATATGAAAGCCCTCCCCATGCCTCAGAGCCAGAGAAACCAACCTAGGGAGCTCCTGAGCTGGGGTGGGATTGGCAGGAGGCATCAGGCCCCTGCAAATGCTCTAGGAGACCCCATGATCACCCGCCAGGTCTCCAGGACTAGGTAGCCCTCAGCCTAAGGCAGGCTTTCTCCACCTGCCACTATTGACATTTGGGGCCAGATAATTCTTTGTTCTGGGGACTATCCTGGGCATTGTAGGAGGTTTAGCAACAACCCTTGCCTCTACCCAATAGCCAGTAGCACTCACTTCCCAGTTATGACAACCACAAATGTCTGCAGACATTGACATGTGTCCCCTGGGGAGCAAAACTGCCCTGGGGTGGAGAGCCACTGGCCTCTGCAACTACTTACAACAGATGTCCCCTCCAGTCAGGGTACTGCAACAGAGACGGCTTCACCTGCAGCATGTCACTCTGACTCAGCTGGGGACAGAGAGGAAAGAGCAGGGCCAAGGGTCACACGTGCTCACAGTAGGGCCGGTCGGCACTACCACCTGCATCACACAGCACCAGGGCCTCTACAGCCAAGGGCTTGGTCTCCTCGTCAAAGAAACTGCGAGAGGGGCTCACGGGGCCAGCATTCTCATGTCCGATGTGCTAATGAGGAAACAGAGGCTAAAAAAGTCAGGTGCCTCAGCCAAGTCACGGAGCTAGCAAGTGTCAGAGCTGAGCATCTTAGAATGTTTGACTTCCAGTCGAGTGCTCTGTATTCAACACTGACACCTGAAAAAACCCAGAGGGGTGGGTTTGCAGAGGCCGTGATGGGAGTCCGTGCTACCCAGCTCCTCCCTGGGGTGAAAGAAGAAGTCCTGGAATTGGGTCTTGATGCCAACTTCTGGAGGGAGTCAGGCCACTGTCGTCCTGCAGACTCAGTTCAACCTCACACTTTGGAAAATGTGGTCATTTCTAGACCATCCTGACCCTGACCAGGTGCTGGGGTAGTGACACCCAGGGCATCTCACACACAATGTCAAGGACAGGCCGGGCCCGTGGGCAGTGGGACAAGAAGAAAGGCAGGCAGCCACTCGTATACGACTCGAGCCTTTCCCTTTCTCCTTCATCCCTTAGAGCCGCGCTGCCCAATACGGAAGTTGCTAGACACATGTGGCTATTGAGTACTTGGAATGGGGCTAGTCTGAATTGAGAAAAACTGGATATTGAAGACTTGATCTGAAAAAAGTACGTAAAATGCCACATTGATTATGTGTTAAAATGGTCATATTTTAAATATATTAGGGTAAATAAAGTATATTATTAAAATGAATTTTACCCGTTTCTTTTCACTTACTTAATAGAAAGTTTAAAAATTATATATGTGGCTCAAATTTTATTTCTTTGGATGGTGCTGAGCAACCTTGGAGTGTGGGAGCTGGCTTTAGGTAGAACATGCCTTTCAAGCCCACTGCCTGCACTACACCCCTCTCCCCTTGGGATGTGAATTTGTCACCTTTGGACACATGTCCCTTTGAGTTAAGCATCACTCTTTCTACAATCCCAAGTCTGACTGCTAGGCCTTGGGAGACATTTAACAGGCATTTCCAGTGGTTTGCTAGAGATGGTTGGCACCAGCTCAAGCTGTGTTAATAGACAGCCATTTCAAAAATTAAATTATACAAATTATATAAGTGAGTTACATTAAAAACAAAGGTAGTAAATATACAAACAATATTGTTCTTGATTATGTTACTACATTTTACTACCTTCTGTGCTCTTGAAGTTATTTCTATCTGTGTGTCTAGAAGAGAAAATACTATACAGGGTGGGACAAAAGAAGATTTACAGTTGTTCATATGGAAAATAATATGAAAATTAATAATTAATAATACAAGAATAAACCCTTGTTTTGTGTACTCACAACTGTAAACCTACTTTTGCTCCCCCCTGTATATGAGTGCCACTGCACTTCTCTTCCCAATTTTGTGTGTAATAGTGTCATATCAGTAGCTTGAAACCGGTCCTGGTGGGAGTATTGACACTATGGGAATTGGCAAAAGCTACAAATCAGCACCACCCCTACCCCCCAGAGCCAGCTGATCATTACTAACTACACCCCCACTACCCCTACTGAGTGTTTTCCCTGAGAGCAGGGACCCAGCCAACAGGAGGATCTGTGTGAGGGGCAGGACGTGAAGAGAAAAAGAAGCAGTTATCAAAGTAGGCAAAGTGACTCGCCCAAGACCACATAGAAAGTTGTCCCTGAGGCAGATCTAGAATCTAGACTCCTGACTCCCCGGCCAAGGCCACTGAGGTAAGCAGCAGGCTCTGGTGGGAGAAGCATTCTAGGGAGTCCAAGAGAAACCAGGCCTTCAGAGCTGGTGATGCCACCCAGATGTGCACCGGGACTCACCCGACTGGACAGAAGGTCAAAGCAGAGCTTGTTCTCACTGGTGCCCAAGTTGATGATGCCCTGGAGAGGAGAGGCACAGAGGGAGGGTAAACATGGCAGAGGGAGGCCAATGGAAGATCAAGGAAGCAGCACAGCGGAGCTCTCTGCAATCCCACCCTTCCAACCACCCCTGTTTGACTTGGTTCAATATATAGAACTGTTTACTATCTGTCCCCCACCCCCCAGACTATAAACTCCATGAAGGCAGAGAATTTATTTTTGTTCACTGCTATGCCCCCAGCATCTAGGACAGTGCCCAGTATCTGAAAGATGCTCAACAAATAAAGATTATTAAAGGTTCTTATTTGCGACAGCTCTGAAGGTATTACTGGGAATAACTTACAACAACCAGGACAAATAACATTCATAATAACAGCAGCTACCATTTCCTGAATGCTCCATGTGGAAACACTGTGCTGATAACTTTGCACACCTGATCTCATTTCACTGGGACTATTCTATGGAACAGGTATCATTATCTCATTTTAGAGATGAACTAAAGCTCAAAGAAGTTAAGTAATTAGCTCAAGAATACACACCCCATAGTGAAACAGTTGTGGCCCAAACCCTAGTTCTGCCCCAGCTCTCAAGGCGAATAGTTGACAGTCTGTGGGTCAGAATCCACATTAGAGCATTCCATGGTTCTCAAATTCCTCCCTCACAAATCAAGTTGCCCTTAATTACAACTGGGTCATTTTCTTCATATATATATGAAGATTGATTTATTGATTGATTTCAGAGAGGAAGAGAGAGATTGAAATATCAATGATAAGAGAGAATCATTGATCAGCTGCCTCCTGCACGTCCCACAGTGGGGATCGAGCCCGCAACCTGGGCATATGGCCCAACTAGGAATCAACTGTGACCTCCTGGTTCATAGGTCGACGCTCAACCACTGAGCCATGCCGGCTGGGCCTAACTGGGCCATTTTCTAACCCAGGTAATAAACTGGGGCTTTTTACACCCTTCTTCAGAGTACTGGTGAAATATATTGTTTGTTCTTCCCAATTCTTGCAGAATTTTAAATAAAACACATCTCCCCAATCTGTTGGGGGGTTTTGTAGGTGTAAATGGTACTGCAGTTATGGTTTTTCTAATCCTTATCTTTTAGAGAAATGTACCGTAAATTTTACAGATAAAATGAGATACTGCTGGTATTTGATGAAAAATAATCTGAGGGTGGAATAGGTGAGTATATCGATGAAACAAAATTGGCGATAAATGGATAATTGTTGAAGCTGTGTGATGGATATTTGGGGGTTCGTTATGCTATTCTCTCTATGTGTTCTATGCTACATCAGAAGCCCTCTTGGAGGTCAGAGGACCATAAGTCTAACCTGGCAAGAGCAAGCTAGATGCTGCCCTGTGGGTCAAGGTAGGGTATCCCCGCCCTGCAGTCCAGTGGGAAGGAGGGCTCACTCACATTGGGGTTCTTGTCCTCATCATACTCATCCATGTGGTAGGTCCTGTAGCCCTCCTCAGCTGAGTCCCAGAACCATTTACTGATTCTTCCTCTGGAGGACAGGTGGGAGCTGTCAGAGGAGAATGTGGTGGTGGGATCACCCACGCCATAGTGCTCTGGCCGCTTGTGGTCTGGCTTTCTGGAGCGTTCTCTTTCCAAGCCATCCCCATAGTTAGTGTCCAGGCCCAGACAGGTGGTAGGTGCCCTGGACTCCTTCTTAGGGAGGGTAGCCATCTGCAAAGAGACAAAAGCACTCGATGCCTCACCAAGGACTTTCCACGGGAACAAGCCTCAAAATGAACTGGGAGTCACGGGGCCTCCTCCTCTCTCTCCCTGCCTCTTCTTTGATTTTATATACTAACCGCATCCTGTGTCCCTGACTAGTTGCAACTATGTGTGCAATTACTTCGAGTACATTCTGCAAAGTGTATCTTCCATGCCAGGGGTCTGCCCTTGCTACTTTTATACAACTTTACTATATAGCTGCTTTAATTTGTTTTACTTCTGTGGGTTTTTCATTCGGCAGCCTAAGGAGTCACCGCTGGACTTCTCCCATTTTTGCTGATCTCAATTTCAAAAAGCCAGGTTAAAATACTCTGACGAAAAGCAGAAAGCGCCTGGAGTCCAGGGGTGGGGGTGGGGGTAGGATGTCTCTGATGTAAACAGGGGTCAAGGGTGGGATGGGAGTTTGCTGGTCTGAAGCCGCCCTTGGGTGGGGCCTGAGGGGCTGCTCGTGGGACCTTCGCAAATGCAGGGACCTGGCAGAGCTCCAGGGTCCCCCTTCCCTCTCGGTGGTGGGAGGCGAGGGCCGGGGTTGGGTGGTCTCACCCTGGGAGCGGACGCCAGCTCCTCCCCTTTCAAGGCAGTTTCCCGGCCTGCACAGTGGGTATAACCGCACCTGCACCTACTTCTTGCGGTAGCAGTGCGGACAGAAGTATGGGAGTTAATGTAGATAAAGGCTTAAATCCTGGCCCATAGCCAAACTTCAGTCCAACGTCACTCTTCGCTGATTTTCCCAGTCCTAACAGACAAGCCCCACGTGCCAAGTCATGGGGGACACACCAATGATGAGGGACTAGCCAGCAGCTCAGGGACTCTGGGGCTCCTGCTAAACTGTGCTCCCCGAAGTCTCCTCTGGGTTCCTCCCCCTTTGGCTGCGCTCCCAGCGCTCACCCCACCCCACCCCCAACCCCAGCCCAGGCCCGAGAGGGAGTCCGGGAGGGAGGCGGGCAC